AAAAAAAAAAAAAACAGGTTTACTTTTGTTTTCTTTCCATGTAGTGTGTATCCCCTGGATGTATTTCATGTACTGAACTAGCACATTGAGAGTGGTAATCCTTTTTATTTCAATGTATCCCGAGCTTTAATGGGCACGGAGGACAGGTCTCGGGTTGGGGCTCCCCGCATGTTTAGTTGGTAATACACGCTGCAAACAGTTGATTGGGACGACAATATAAATTTGGCCACATTGCGGTTAATATCATGATCTTTATCGAGATTGTAAATTAATCACAACCTTTGAATTTTTGCATAATATTTAACGCTCTTCAATTCTTTGCAATACATGGTTTTCATTTGGTGCCCTCAACAAATTTGACGTGACACTCAAAATGCCAACGCACCTGTTGATGTTTATTTAACAAACGATTTAAATTACGGCTAATATCATGACTTTTATCGAGATTGCAAATTAATCACAACCTTTGAACTTTTGCATAATATATCACACCCTTGAATTCTTTGTCAAACGATACACGGTTTTCATCTGTTGCCCCAACACATCTGACGTGGCAGTCAAAATGCCAACCCACCTGTTGATGTGTATGTAACAGATGATTTTTTTTTTCCATCTCATCCTTAGACGATGTCGTTTCGTCTGACGTTTTTAAGTTCGATTTTTTTTCCACGTCATATGAACACACATTCAGTTTCGGAATTTTATAAAATTAGACTTTACTTACCATTCGAAATTTGCACCGGTAGTGCCTCCTTGCCAGATTCAGATCAGTATGAGAGGTAAGAAGATCGGGCTCAACACCATGTTGACATGCTAATTTCAGAATTGCTGAACTCGGGAATGTTGTTGCCGAACTTGCTTCCTATATGAGTTGGAACCGGTCGACATTGTCTTCTAAACTGAACAATCGACCCAATTGTCTTGTAGGGTTCTTCCTCACAGCACGTCGGGTTCATCTCAGCTTCAAAATTAGGAAATTAGGGTTCTTCCTCAGACAACAATTTATTTATGCACAAATTCAAAGGAAAACGACGTCATTTCTGTATGACGTGGAAAAAAGCAATCGACCTTAAGAAGATCAGACGAAACGACGTCGTCTAAGGATGAGTTGGAAAAAAAATCGTCTGTTAAATACACATCAGCAGGTGCTTTGGCATTTTAAGTGCCACGTCAGATGTCTTGGGGAAGTAGATAAAATCGTGTATTGTTTGACAAAGTATTGAAGGACGTGATATATTATGCAAAAGTTCAAAGGTTGTGATTAATTTGAAATCTCGATAAAGGTCATGATATTAGCCGCAATTTAAATCATATGTTAAATGCACAGCAGGTGCGTTGGCATTTTGAGTGCCACGTCAGATGTGTTGGGGCAGCAGATGAAAACCATGTATCGTTTTGCAAAGAACTGAAGGGCGTGATATATTATGCAAAAGTTCAAAGGTTGTGATTAATTTGAAGTCTCGATAAAGGTAATGATATTTGCCTATAAATTATAAATACCCTCATTTCATTATGGACCACATTTCATAATGAGACATGTTGATTGGTGGATTATGGGACATTTTGGGGCCACGAGAAAAAATACAGGATCAAGGTAGGAGAACCAAAATCCTCAATTTCTGGAGATAGACAAGTATCATCACTCTTTTCCGCTATAGTAAAGTTTTTGTGAATTTTCGAAACATCCATGTGGTTTATCGATAGGCAAGTTAAAAGAGACAAAATTACCTTATGAACTAACTAAAACATAAAAGATTGCATGTATGCTAACATAATATTTTATTGCAAACATATAAAATCTGACACGAATATTTGCATGCATTATGCATAATTTTTACTTATTAGTTGTATGCAATTGGTAATTGTTTTAATTTAATGGGATTTTACTTTTGTAACTTCTTAGAATCTTCATCTTATCACTGTCAGAAAAAAATCTCCATGCTTAACGTCATCTCCAATATTCTCCATTCTTATCCCTCTCCCTTTTTTTTTTTT